TCTTTTTTCTTTTATCTCCATGTTGTTCGACTCTTCGAAAATATTATTAGATATGTATTGGATCTTCCAAAATTATTGTATTTTGGAGGATCCAACACGCAATGGTAAAGCTAGGTGAGCGGAAGGTGTTCGTTCGTACCCCCTTCACGAAGAAATTACATAATATATATAAAATTAAAGAAATTATATATATATATATATATAATAAGTGTGAAGGTCTAAGTTGAAGATTAAAAGACCAAAAACCCCTATAAACTCAAGTGACTATAATACCATTCAAAAAATTAAAACCTTCATAAATAATTACAATAACCAAACATACATTAATTTTTTTACTTTAACAAACATAAATGCTACGTTTTGATAAATCCAACAAAAGCGAATAAAGAGAGAAAGAAAACAAATTTGTCTGTGAAAACAAGAATTATTTCTCCATTAATTTGAGTTCATCATCATATCTCTTACACTGTTTATCATATATATATATATATATATGTGCGCGCGCGCGTGCTCGCGTGTGTGAGATGTTGAATCTCCTTGACTTCTCTACATGTGTAACTTTTTAACCCCTTTAGTTAATATCCTGGCACCGCCACTACCAACACGGGTGCGACATCATTTTAAAGAATCCGAGCAACATAACATATCCCTCAACCAAACGACCCATTAGTATATATTTTGTATGATTTTAACTAGTGACTCAATATCAAAGTAGAGTACAAAAAAGGTCTTTGTACACAAAATACTAACTGAAACAATATATGGTTCGAAAAATACAGGAGGTGCTTGTGGTTATGGTAATTTGAACAGCCAAGGTTATGGAACAAATACTGCAGCATTAAGCACAGCTCTATTCAACAATGGTTTAACATGTGGGGCTTGTTATGAGCTCAAATGCAACAATGATGGCAAATGGTGCCTTTCTGGAACAATTACTGTAACTGCTACAAATTTCTGTCCTCCTAATCCATCTCTACCTAGCAACAATGGTGGCTGGTGCAATCCTCCTCTTCAACACTTCGATTTGGCACAGCCTGCTTTCTTGAAAATTGCCCAATATAAAGCCGGTATCGTCCCCATATCTTTCCGGAGGTGAACTTTTCTTACTAATTCCTCGTTCCATTTATGTGGCGGTGTATTAACTATGCACAAGTTTTTAACAATTTAACTTATAGATAGTGGCGGAGCTAGAAGATGAGGTATAGTTTCGGCCGAACCCAATAGCTTTAGTCAAATTAAAACCTTATGTTTTGAGTTAGAAATCCACTAAATATGTACAAAAATTAAATTCAGAAACTAATTATTAACACGTGATGTCGCTATCCTAGGATTTAAAACTTTTAAAACCGATAAAATTCAAATCCCGGCTCCGCCTCTTCTTATAGACATACAATATAAAGAATATTTACACTTAGTGTATTTTGACTTGTTATAACTACGTATTTTGTCTTATATTTGAGGTTACTAATTTTACTTTTTATAAGCGGTTAAATTATGTAATTATCTTTTAGGTAACGTAAAAGTGTAATAATAGTTAAACTCTTACAAGTGAAGAAGATTTTTAATACATAAGATAAATGTGTACAAAACTACAAGATTCTTTTACTATCAACAATTAAAATGAGAGATGGTAAAAATTTCACATTTTTTTTTCTCATACTAAAAAGGTTAACTTTATACCAAGAAGAGGTCCAACAAGTCATATCACAAAGGGTAAAATGAGTATAATAAAATTAAAGTATTTCTAAATACGAAAATATAGCACTCTTCTTGGAAGGCAGAATAGCCTAAATGACACTTATACTTGTGTCACTTTATCATCCCGGTCCTTGTATTCTATAGTTTGTCAGGTGAACACTTGTACTTATTCAAACTCTATATATTAAACCCTTATGATCGTTGACTGAGACTATAAAGCTGACTTGGCTTCAGTGCGTGACTCACACGCCTTTTAGGGGCGTGAGGCCTATTAGAAAACCGTAACAGTAACATTTCCCATTATTTAATGGCCTTCTTCTTCATTTTCCATTGTTAACCTAGTGGGAACTCTCTTGGGTATTTAACAAAATCATCTCTCTTCTTTCCCTTAATTTTTTCAGATTTTTCGTCCTTCTTGCTGATGAAATACGGCTTTATAGGACTCCATAAACAAACAAACAAACAAACAAAACCTAATTTTTTATCTGATAAAGCATCCAAGATTAACCCTATATCTTCCCCAAAAATTTCTATAATATTATGATATAACTTGGTGGACAACAACCCAGAATAAAATCCAACATAATTCAGAAAAATAAAAATCAGAAGACTAATTTAGGATTTTACCCACAAAAAAAAACTAAAACGAAACGAAGTAACTGAATATATTACTATATGCACAACTATAACAAAGGGGTTTTATAGTTCAAATAGTAAGCAAACAAAACAAAACAAAAAAAAACTAATATTCAGGCACACTCAAGAGCAATTAATCACCGACCTAACCCAACCATCAACTAATAAACGAACCAAAAAAGAGATTAAAAAAGAGATTAAAAAAAATGAGTTAAGAAGAAATGACAGTACTTGCCGCAGAACGACGGAAGAAAGGCACGAAACAATGACCAGAAATTTAATGAAAAAAGACGAAGGAGAGATAGCACGGAGAAGATGATGAAGGAGAACAAACAGTGAAAGTGAAACAACTTGTGTAAAATAAGGGACATACGGTTTGGGGGGGGGGGGGGGGAGGGGTAATATAATATTTAATATATTATTTCGTATTTGGCATTAAATAATGACGTGGAGTCCTACATGGAAGCAATTGTGTTACACGCAGGTTGACCTCTTCGAAAAAGGGTTTAATATATAGAGTTTGAATAAGTATTAGTGTTCACCTGACAAACTATAAAATACAAGGACCGGGATGACAAATCGGTATAAGTGCAAGAGCCTATTAGGATATTCTGCCCTTCTTGGAACAAAAGACTTTGAAGTTTACAGATTCCTAAAACAATCTCAAGTTAATATTATATTAATAATTATATTCACAGTTAAATATTTAGTAAATCTTTTAGTACACATATAATGTTTGGACAAAAGTTATTGGATTAAGTGAACCCATAACGAACATACTAAACCGGTCCCTATCTTGGAACAAATTAAAAAGAAAACAATGTCGCATAAATTGAGACGAAGAGAGTAATACAAGACTCTTCCTACTTAAGAGTACATATTAACTTCAACCTGATTGAATTCACACAAGAGGCCAAGATGTAAATATTAATAATATATGCTGATATGGGATTTTAATTTGGTCTTTGACAGGGTGTCGTGCAATAAGAAGGGAGGAATTAGGTTTACAATAAATGGCCACCCTTATTACAACTTGGTTTTGGTGACTAATGTTGGAGGTGCTGGTGATGTTCATTCAATTTCTATTAAAGGGTCAAAAACTGGATGGACATCAATGTCAAGAAATTGGGGCCAAAACTGGCAAAGCAATTCATATCTCAATGGCCAAAGTCTTTCATTTCAAGTGACCACAAGTGATGGAAAAACTGTCACAAGCTACAATGCTGCACCAACTAATTGGCAATTTGGCCAAACTTTTGAAGGGAATCAATTTTAGTTTCAGCTACATACTCTAGGGAAAAATAAATAAATTGGCTAGAGAAGATGTCGATTTTTATGCGCTGATAGTGTACAAAATTACCATTTTGAAATAACCACCTTTAGTGAGTGCGTATTAGTAACGTAAAAATAAGATAAATAATCTGTTATACTCGTAATAGATTATAAGTTATATCTATTCAAAATTGTTTTGTAGAGATCGTGTATATAATTTAAAATCATTTGCATTGGACATGAATGTTTTTGTATTCCTATATCCTTTTCAGAGTTGATTGCTTATATGATTACTCAATTATAATAAATGATGTAATATAGTCACTTTTTTTTTAAAATAAAAACCGTCACTCAACTAAAGAAAATGATGTAACAAAGTTAATTTTTATTTATTTATTTTGTAACAGAAACTTACTTTATATCAATCAACTATACTTTAGCTAGAAAATATATATTCGATAGCAATTTAATAACGTGACATAGAAAGTCTAAACCCAAAAATAAAAATAAAAAAATAAATTTTTTTTAACCAATATAGGAACCCGACTCACCTATCTTTAACGAAAGTAAAGTACAATTAAAAGAATAATTATATATATTATATATATAAATATATAAAAGAATAAAATTAAACAAACTACTTATCGTCATTGTTATTTAGCTTGGACACGTGAAAAATATATGATATTCCTATTTTAAGAAGAATTAACCCAAATAGCTATCCACCCAACTGGTTAAACTAAAACTAGCCGTTGGAGATATAATATATGCATAATTTATATATTATATGTGTATAATTATGTAAAATTAATGTATAAATTATGTATATAGCTAGAAAAAGTAAATAATGAATATGACCAGTTATTTGTTTAAGGATCCCTTAATTTTAAACAATCCATTTGGGGAGTACCATAAGTTGGATCAAAAGTACTCAATATTATTAAATTTAAAAGTCCCAAAGGGACGGCCCAGTTGGGTTTGGAGTGAAGAAATCAGCTAACCATGAAGATTTACCATGGATGAGAAGCTGTAGATCTAAGTTTAGAGAAGAGAAATGTAGTTCGATATTTCAGAGGAAGAAGAAGCTGTATTGATACAACTGTTTTCAGTATCTGTACATGCAAATATATAAAATCAACTCTAATCCTTAACTAGAGTTAAAACTAAAGCTAACTTGAGTTACACTAACTCTATTCTAAGGTAAGTTAGTTACAACTAATCTAATTAACTAATGAAACTTAACCACTACAATCATTACTAATCTCAACAGGAGTTGTCCACACGTGCGATCGCGAGTCAATCCTCCCTTAATGCCCTCTGGGTCTGAGCCTGTCGCACGGGGTTTGACTAATGCGATTTACATACCAATGTGATTTGTAGACTATTACACACTCGGGATTTACCAAGTGCACAGAGAGTGCTCACCACTGAAAATATGAAATGAATGTTTCCCTCTATTAGCTCCAAAATCAGCGCATCCAGTGGAGAAATGATTCCATCTTCCGGAACTTTCACTCGCAAACTCTGTACAACCCTCTTCCGCTCTCTCCCACTTACCCGTAAAACCCCTCGAAACTTCCAAACTTCACGCGCTCACTCTTCCAGAAACTTCCACTCACTAAACCCTCACCCTACTGCCATTCACACTCTCATCAGGCCCATTTCTGTCCTTTCCATTACTCAACGGTCTACAACCGTCGCACGCGCCAGACGAAGATCGAGTATCGCCGGCGTTTCAACCATGGGCAACGGCGGAGATAACGGCGTTACGTTTCAGTTAACTCCGTCGAGCTTGTTGAAGATTCAAAAAGGTGATATCACTCAATGGTCCGTAGACGGATCCTCTGACGCTATTGTAAGTATTGAGTATCGCTGCTTTTATATATGCTTTTGAATTTAGCTGAATTGTCTTTTAACTTTAAATAATCGAATTAAAATTTATGATTAAAGATGTTATGTACTGACATATACAGACTGAATAAAAAATATAAGAGTGTTTTATATCTTGATTGGGAATGAAAAAGTGCCGCTACAGTTGCCCAAGAGCATTTTTGCTCGTGATATGAGAATTTTGCTTCGAAGCATATAATATATTATACTAATGTTTAAGTCTCCGACTTGATTCTTATATGTTTTGTTTCTTAGAGAAGTTTAATCCTTCATAGAGAAAAAGTTGAAGATCAGATAATCTAATAAAGCAGGTTGGCTATATCGAGAGCTTACCCTACTGAGCAGTATTAGCTCTAACTTGACTTAAGGTTTACCCTGTGTTGTAAATATCAGAAGAACTTTGGATTCATTTGTGACCTATAAATAATTCCAAGTACAATAGAAGAGGAAAGCAGTACCCCTATGTATTTTTAAGAAAAGTATATCCAATATAATAGACCTTTTCTCTTTAGGCTGATGATATTATTCAGTTCTGCCTATGACATTTCCTTGGGGTTTATGATATATTTGATTCTGTCTATTTTTCATGACACTTAGTGTAATTGTGGTCTTTATCTTTGCACCATTCTTATACAGGTCAATCCTGCCAATGAGCGAATGCTGGGTGGTGGTGGTGCTGATGGAGGTAATTCTTTAATTATACTGTGATTACAATTTCTATGGCATATGCAGTCTAATTTCATGTTTCCCCATTTCTAGCCATACATCGAGCTGCTGGTCCAGAATTACGAGATGCATGCTACAAAGTCCCAGAGGTACGTCCTGGAGTTCGCTGCCCAACAGGAGAAGCAAGGATTACACCGTATGTTCTCAGTCGCTGGCTTCACTTCAATAATTCATTAGAACCGTCAGTTTTATGTAGTATGGTGTCAGTACACTTACATTGTGGGGGAAAACTACTGCAGAGGTTTTAGATTGCCAGCTTCTCATGTAATCCACACTGTTGGACCAATATATGATGCTGTCCCAAATCCTAAAGCCTATTTGACGAATTCATATAGGTTTGTGAATGATTGTTTTATATTCCTCATAAATTGGTTTAAATGTCATACCTTATTTGATTCTCTTTTCTCTTAACTATACTGCAGAAATAGCCTGCGTGTGGCAAATGAGAACAACATTCAGTATATTGCTTTTCCTGCCATATCATGTGGGGTCTTCGGGTGAGTTCATATGGATTAACCATGCATTTTCAAGTTTATAGGGAACCTCAGCTGATTTAGCTATGCTTGTGATGGTTCCTTCTCAAAGCTAAATTGTGCACCAGCTATTGAGTATGAAAGACGAATATGTTGCGACTACTACAGAATGAGTTTGCTGCATGATCTCACATTTCATTACCTAGACAATAGTTATCTTATTTTTCTTGTATGTTCTGTTGGAGGGACTGATTATATGAAAATTGTTGCCTTAATGAAGCTACAGTACGAAATTAATCTAATTGTTATGTTAAGATCACAGCTAATTAATTCTGTCTTCTGAATCTTTTTTGTGTTTTCATCTCGCCACCTAAAATTTGCTGACCCCTCATTTTTTTTTTGGCACAAGTTGTCACTTAAAATTAGGGAATCACTTAGAATGTTGGAGTCAATTCCTTTATCTGTTTGTTTCATTGTGTATCATGCCCTAAATTCTGCTCAAATAAATTTTTATATCCTGGTGATATGTGTTGATTGTTGACCGAGAAAATTAGTTCAATAGTCTTTAGTTTGAACATATCATAGAGGTAACCTTTTTTTTTTTTGCATAACCAAATTTACACCTTCCTGACTCTTTAGGTATTGCCACATCGTGCATATGATTGTTTTGAAACTTCTATTTTATGAGTACTACCTGTGCTAAGTTGTTTGCATGTTAATGAGCTAGGAAAAATGATTCTGCAGTATAATCACCTTTAGGAACAATATATAATCTTAGCAGCTATGGACGGTTAATTGTGCTCAATCTTCATTTTTTTTTTGTGCTTTACAGATATCCTTTTGATGAAGCTGCCACTGTGGCTATATCTACTGTCAAAGAATTTGGCAGTGAGCTCAAAGAGGTATTATCTGCTTATGGATTTTGGTTTGCTCAGAACTTGATTGCAATATAGGTCACATATCTGTTGAGACTAAAATACTTCATAGTGTTCTTATCTTATGTTGGTGAAATTGTTCGCCTGAAGCAGAAATATTGATAATGGTGGATGTGGCTCCACTGTTACTCATAGTATGTTGGCATTTTGTTCCTAGTTTTTGTTTTCTTTTTGCTGATAAACGTATATATATGTAATTACTAGCGTCTTAATAGTACCCAAGAAAGTGATTGTATATAATGATTTGTGAAGGCTTAAGACCTCCATAAACATCACTGCGATGCGGTATTCTTACAGAAAAAGGGCAGCCCGGTGCACTAAGCTCCAGCTATGCGCGGAGTCCGGGGAAGGGTCGGACCACAAGGGTCTATCGTACGTAGCCTTACCCTGCATTTCTGCAAGAGGTTGTTTCCACGGCTCGAACCCGTGACCTCCTGGTCACATGGCAACAACTTTACCAATTACGCCAAGGCTCCCCTTCAGTATTCTTACAGAAAATTATAAAAAAACAAGAAAGCTCCTAATATCATGGAGTTAATTTTTCCATGATTTAGCCCTCTGGATTTCTTTCTGTTCTTGAGAAGTCACAAAAGGCACATGGGGGACAACATTCTGTTTTATCCCATACATGAAAAACTTTTGAATTCTGGAATGAATATGGTCTATCTTTGCCCAATAGATTTTGTATCCAAACAACGAGAACAGAGAAGTCCAACGATAAGCCACTACCTTGAAATTCCACCTGAGATTATTTTTATTTTCCCTGTGGTTTTTGCCCATGAAAAACTGGCTAGGGAATGTTAAAATTATAATAAACTTGTTTCCATTAGTTCACATTTGTATTAAATATGTTTAGATTAGTTCATATTAGCATGTAGACTAATGTGAACTTCATTATGAGATGTATGAACTAGTGTAGACTAATGTGAATTTAGTTAGTGTGTTTACATGAAGTTTAGGCTAGATACATGTAGGAGTTCTACTATAAATACCCATGTATGCTAGCCATTTGGAACAAGTCAAGTTGAATGAAAAATATCATTTCTTCTCCATTCTTAAAGTGAGTTGTGAGTGTTTGAGTGTTTTGTTGTCTTGCTCTCCCAAATTATTTTTTTTTTCCAACATTTGGTATCAGAGCCGGTGTGGTTGAAGACAACAAACTTGGAGAAAAGATGACGAATTCTAACGGAACACCATTCCAAGTTCCTATGCTTACAAAAGAGAACTATGGAAATTGGTGTATTCGAATGAAGGCCTTGCTTGGTGCCTATGATGTTTGGGAACCAGTAGAGTCCGGTGTTGATGAAGCAGAAGATGTCGTTGCCTCAAAGAAGAAGGATCAAAAGGCACTCACTCTCATCCATCAAGGTTTGGATGACAAGATGTTCGAGAAGGTTGCAAATGCAACAACCTCCAAGGAAGCATGGGATATTCTTCAAACTTCTTTTAAAGGTTTGGACAAAGTGAAAAAAGTTCGCCTCCAAACCTTAAGAGGAGAGTTTGAATCATTGCATATGAAGGAAAATGAATATGTTGTGGATTATATTTCGAGAGTTTTGGCTATTGTCAATCAAATGAAAAGATATGGTGAAGAGTTGAAAGACGATAGGGTCGTGGCAAAAATACTACGATCCTTAATTTCAAAATTTGATTTTATTGTTGTTGCCATTGAAGAGTCCAAAGACTTGGACACCATGACCATAGACGAGCTTTCGAGTTCCTTGCAAGCACATGAAGAGAAGTTGAAGAAACCGAAAGAAGAATCGGTTGAACAAGCGTTGCAAGCAAAATTTTCTTTCAAAGAGAAAGATGAAAGGCGTGGCTCGCAACAAAGAGGCCGTGGAAATGGAAGAGGTCGTGGTAGAGGTGGAAGAGGAGGTAGTCAACCACCTTCAAGTAGAGAAAATAAAGGCCAAGACTTTAATTCAAGAAGAGGTCGTGGAAGAGGGAAAGGATGGAGGCAAAATCAAGGAAGGTATGACAAATCAAATATTGAATGTTATACTTGTCATAAATTTGGTCATTTTTCTTGGGAATGTAAAGATAACTTTGAAGAGAAAAATAATTTCGTGGAGAGCAAAAATGAAGATGAAGATGCCACCTTGCTTCTCGCATGCAAAGGAGAAGAAAGTGCCGAGAAGCACCGATGGTACCTTGATTCCGGTGCAAGTAGCCATATTTGTGGAAAGAAGGATTTATTTGTGGAACTTGAAGAGTTGAATCGTGGCACAATCACTTTTGGAGATTCTTCACGTGTTAAAATCAAAGGAAAAGGTACGATTTTAATTCGCTTGAAGGATGGAAGTCATCAATTAATTTCTAATGTTTTATATGTGCCGGAGATGAAAAGTAACATTTTGAGTTTGGGACAACTTTTGGAGGAAAATTATGACATTCATTTGAAAGATAAAAAGTTGTTTATGAGAGATGAAAAAGGGAGATTATTAGCTAAAGTTCCTATGGCTAATAATAAAATGTTCATTTTTAAATCTTCAAAATGATGCTCCAAGATGCTTACTTTCATGTGCCAAAGACTCCTCTTGGCTTTGGCATATGAGATTTGGTCACTTGAATTTTGATAGCTTAAGGTTGATGGATAAAGAAAACATGGTGAATGGATTGCCAAGTATTAATCATCCCAACCAATTTTGCGAAGGATGTATCTTTGGAAAGCAAGCTAGAAAAAGCTTTCCTAAAGAGTCTTTGACAAGAGCAAGATGCCCTTTGGAGTTAATTCACATGGATGTTTGCGGACCTATCAAGCCATCTTCGCTTGGTAAAAGTAATTATTTTTTACTTTTCATTGATGATTATTCTACAAAAACTTGGGTTTATTTTTTAAAGGCAAATTCAGAGGTGTTTGAAACCTTTAAAAAATTCAAGAGGATGGTGGAGAAACAAAGTGGCTATCAAATTAAGTCACTTCGGTCGGACAATGGTGGAGAATTCACCTCAAATGAATTCAAAGTTTTCTGTGAGAAAAATGGAGTTCGCCATTTTTTAACCGTGCCAAGATCACCACAACAAAATGGCGTTGTGGAAAGAAAGAACCGGACCATTCTTAACATGGTGAGGAGTATGTTGAAGAGCAAAAATATGCCAAAGGAATTTTGGGCTGAAGCTGTTGCTTGTGCGGTATACTTACTAAATCGTTGCCACACAAAACGTGTTCATGGAAAAACACCTCAAGAGGCATGGAGTGGTTTCAAGCCAAAAGTTTCTCACTTGCGAGTTTTCGGAAGCATTGCATATGCACATATACATGATGAAAAGAGGACCAAGCTCGATGACAAAAGTGAGAGTCCATTATTTGATGATGATGAAGAAGATGTGGAGCAACCTATCTCACCACTATCAACACCTCCGCCACAAAATCAAGAAGTGGAGGAATCAAGTTCAAGTTCAAGTGAAGCACCTCACAAGAGTAGAAATCTCCGTGACTTGTATGAAAACACGGAAGTGGTAAGAAATGATTTATATGATTTTACTCATTTTTGTTTATTGGTGGATAGTGAGCCTATAAGCTTTGAGGATGCATTCCAAAATTCCAAATGGAGAGATGCCATGGATGAAGAAATCAAGGCAATAAAAAAGAATGAAACATGGGAGTTGATCACACTTCCAAAAGGAAAAAGCACCATTGGAGTCAAATGGGTATACAAGCTAAAGAAAAATTCCAAGGGTGAAGTAGAAAAGTACAAAGCAAGATTAGTAGCTAAAGGATACAAGCAAAAAGCCGGTATTGACTATGAAGAGGTATTTGCACCGGTTGCTCGTTTGGAAACAATTCGCTTTGTCATTGCCTTGGCCGCCCAAAATCAATGGAAAATCCATCAAATGGATGTGAAGTCAGCTTTTTTGAATGGCGTATTGGAAGAAGAAGTCTACATTGATCACCTTTGGGCTATAAGGTTGAAGGACAAGAAAATAAAGTCTTGAAATTGAAAAAGGCTTTATATGGGTTGAAGCAAGCTCCGCGGGCTTGGAATAGTAGAATTGATAAATATTTTCAAGCAAATGGTTTTTCAAAATGTCCACATGAACATGCACTTTATGTAAAAATTGCTAAAAATGGAGACATTTTACTTGTTTGCTTGTATGTAGATGACTCGATTTTTTCAGGAAATAATCCTAAGATGTTTGAAGAATTCAAGGAAGCAATGGCTAGAGAATTTGAGATGACGGACATTGGATTAATGTCCTACTATCTTGGCATTCAAGTGCAACAAAGGAAGGATGGGATTTTTATTTCTCAAGGAGAATATGCAAAGGAAATTCTCAAGAAGTTCGAGATGGATAATTGCAATCCTGTGAGCACCCCCGTTGAATGTGGAGTTAAAATATCCAAGCATGGAGATGGAGAAAATGTAAATCCCACATTTTTCAAGAGTCTTGTTGGAAGCTTAAGGTACTTGACATGCACAAGGCCGGATATTCTTTATGGTGTTGGACTTGTGAGCCGCTTTATGGAAGCTCCTACTACCTCCCATTTAAAGGTAGCAAAAAGAATACTTCGGTACATCAAAGATACACTTGATTATGGAATTCTTTATTCATCTTCTAAGGATTCTAAGTTTGTGGGATATTGTGATAGTGATTGGGCTGGTGATATTGATGATCGTAAAAGTACTACTGGGTTTGTTTTCTTTCTTGGAAATTCTGCATTTACATGGAATTCTAAAAAACAACCAATTGTTACTTTGTCAACTTGTGAGGCGGAGTATGTTGCAGCTTGCTCATGTGTTTGTCATGCAATTTGGTTAAGAAGTTTGTTGGAGGAACTTCACCAACCACAAAAGGATGCCACAAAGATTTTTGTTGACAACAAGTCGGCTATCGAGTTAGCCAAAAATCCTGTATTTCATGAAAGGAGCAAGCATATAGATACAAGGTATCACTTTATTAGAGATTGTATATCTAATAAAGTTGTGGAGCTTGAGCATGTGAAGTCGCAAGATCAAATTGCGGATATTTTCACCAAGCCATTAAAGATTGAAGTTTTTCAAAAGCTAAGGATGGCGCTTGGAGTGATGAAACAAGTTTAAGGGGGGATGTTAAAATTATAATAAACTTGTTTCCATTAGTTCACATTTGTATTAAATATGTTTAGATTAGTTCATATTAGCATGTAGACTAATGTGAACTTCATTATGAGATGTATGAACTAGTGTAGACTAATGTGAATTTAGTTAGTGTGTTTACATGAAGTTTAGGCTAGATACATGTAGGAGTTCTACTATAAATACCCATGTATGCTAGCCATTTGGAACAAGTCAAGTTGAATGAAAAATATCATTTCTTCTCCATTCTTAAAGTGAGTTGTGAGTGTTTGAGTGTTTTGTTGTCTTGCTCTCCCAAATTATTTTTTTTTTCCAACAGGGAAAAGCCCCCCTTGGGGTCTATTGGCATGTTGCTCTGGGTGAACCTTATGAAGTTCATGGAATCCTATATCATATGTCCTTTACTGCATACTACTCTGATTGAGATGAACAATTTAATAACTTAAACGTCATATTAAAACATAATGTTCATAGCCTTGTAATTTAAAAGTCATGTGGTATGGAAGTTACCAGTTTAAAAAAAAAGTCATGTGGTATGAATTTTCTCCTGCAACTTCAACTCTATTTATTTCCCATGTACTGGACTTGACAACTTTCTTATATACTTCTATATGAATGCACGTTTGGTACTTGGAAATTCTTTTGTTAGCTATAACCTTACATGGAAGTTCTGGAACAGCTTGTGTGCTCTTAGTTCAACTTTTAATCCCTTAGAACTAGAAGCTGCAGAATCTGCAGGATTGAATATAAAAGAGCCATGCCTAATTGTTGAAACACTGCAATTGCTTGAGTAACAATTCTAGTTATTCTTGCTTAGTAACTATTAATTTGATCTAGACACGTCTTTGAAAATTTTGTCTGAAATCACCTGATATCATTTTCTGATGGAACTCGCTGAGGGACTTTTTTAGTCTCACTCGAAGGTGAGAAGACATCTTGGCTGGCTTGGGTATTTAAACTGTCTCTTGGTTTGCAGTCGAGATACTTTCATAGATGATGTCCTTTATATATATAATTTTTTTTTCTCTGGAAAACATTCTTTTTCTTGGGAAAGCTAACAATATTAATATATCGTCAGCACAAAGGTTGTGCAGAAACCATATTACTTTTCAAAAGAAACAAAATAATATCCTTGCTCTTCTTTCAAGGATTCTATGATATTTATGAGAGATTCAGCATCATTTAGAATATCTTCTTTACACCAAGCAAAAAATAAGGCAGAATAGCCTCATAAACACTTGTACTTGTTCGCGTTTGTCATCCCGGTCCTTGTACTCAACAAAGTTTCATCCAGACACTTATAGTTATTCAAAATCAATATTCTAAACCCCTCTTCCGCATGTGTTCTTCAAACGCCCTGATGTGGATGCCACATCAGTATCCACATCAGATTTTCTTTATTATTTAATTTATTTTTTAATATTATTTTAAAAAAAAATTTCTTTTCCATTCCACCTTCACGTTCCGCCACACTCACCATCTTTATTCTTTCACAATTCACCATACATTTATCACCACCTTTAAAATAGTCCATTGAGTAACATTACAATGTTATGATACAAACAATGAGAGAGAATTTATGTAACTCTTATTTTCCATCAGTAATCACTTTTTTCTGTTTCTTTTTCTTTTTCTTTTTCAACTTAACTCTTAAAAATCGTCGTACCAACGCCTGCAACTCCTCTCCGATCACCCTTCAGCTAAAACGCTTTTCCACATCCAATACTTCACTATAGCACCACTAATCAACTACAAAAAAGAATCGATCCGAAATGATCCTAAAAACCATCCGAAATTCCTTGCAAAACTCGTCTTCAGAAGCTTTGGGGGGGGGGGGGAGAAAATGGGGGATTTAGAAAAGAACTTTCTCCCCAATTTGGGAACATTGGGATCTGGGCCAAAAATGGGGGATTTAGAAAATAATTTTCTTCATAAATTATTACCAATTTGAAAAAAAAATTTAATCTGGGGCGACAAAGAACATTTGTGGCGGCTGTATTGTAGTTGGGTTTTGGGTTAAAATGGGGGAGAGGTAAGAAGAAGGGAGGAGGAGAGAGAAGAAGGGAGGAGGGGGAGATGCAAAAACGTAAAGAGAAAGCACTTTTCTTTGCATTTAACTTTTTGTCTTTTTCCTTTTTTTAAATCATTTTAATTATTTTTTGGTTTAAATAATTATACTTACGCTCCGTATATGCGTGAAATGCACGTATTTTGTCCAGCTCACCTGTTAAGTTGCCACATAGACCCGGTCAACGGTCAGAGGGGTTTAGAATATTGATTTTGAATAACTATAAGTGTCTGGATGAAACTTTGTTGAGTACAAGGACCGGGATGACAAACGTGAAAAAATACAAGTGTTTATGAGGCTATTCTGCCAAAAAATAAAGAAAGTCATCTTGGCTTTCTGTACAGAGTTGCGGGTTCCTTCAAAGCATGTTCTGTTTCTCTTCTTCCCCCCAGTCCACCATACACAAACAGGTATCATTTGCCACCATTTTTCCTATCTAGCAGTACCTCCAGTATTTTTACAGCATGCCAACAGCACTCGTATATTCTTTGACATAGCCTGCTCGATTCCTTTCACGTGGAGAATTAATTGCCAAATCTGGTCAGTAACTTTTTTGCGGAAGAGATGATTTATGCTCAGAATCTTTTCACACAAGAAACATTGAGAACACAGCTGCAACCCTCTTCTCATTAAATTTTCTCGAGTCAAGAATGCTTCCTTAGCTACTAGCCAAGAAAAACATACCACCTTGTAAGGTATCTTCGGTTTCCGTATTTCCAAGGCCATTTGAATCCCTGTTGCCCACTGTGATTGAGTGTTGTATATGCTGATTTTACTGTGTACACACCTTTACATCCTAATGTGATACCTTATAACCTACATGTGGAAAGAGTAGATCAAAATGCCCATTCCATCCACAAATGATTTTTAATATAATCCAATTAAAAGTGATATCCTCATTTTGTAATACTTTGCAAATGCTACAGGGTTACCAAAACCATTTTTATGCTGAAAATTTGAATCTATTTGTGTATATTTTTGCTTAAAGAACTATTTTGAGCATCAGTACAAATTTTCATGCTTAAGATCAGATTCTGATTGTTAGAGCTGAGTGCTGACTACAATTATTTCCTCTTGCATCTGTCATAATTGCAGGTACACTTTGTGCTGTTTTCAGATGAAATTTATGATGCATGGTTGAAGGCAGCGAATGAACTGTTGCAGAATTGATTAGTATGTTTCTGAGCATCTGGAAAATGAAGTTTGTGGTGATGGATATTGGAGATGCATATGACACCGTAGGCATGTAAAATTTATTGGATTCAAATTTAATAAATAATTTGGATTATATTTTAAATAAACTAGTCCAAATAAGTATTATGGGCTAATACAATTGAATTAAGGGAAATTACCAGCTATGTCCATTTATAAGTAGCTCATTACAAAAATTGGCCAATTGATAAAATATTACTAATATTAGCCAACTTAGCCAATTAGCTATTTGTAGCAAAAAAATATCAAATTTTTGCTTTGTTTTGAGTGAGTGTTATTAGAATAGATTGGGCACAACTTAAGGCGCTTGAATCTCAGTTTTGGGATGATTTGGTGAAGTTTTGAGGTGGTTTGAATTGAAAATTCGAAGTAAAAGCTGAACATGAAAAAAAATGATTATGTGTATCACATTGTGTATCATTTGTGTATCACATATGTATCATATTTGTATCAATTGTGTATCACGTGTATACCTGTGTGTGTGATACATGCGTGATACATGTTTGATACATGTGTCGCAGAAGACTTTTTTGAACTCGATTTAATTACGAATTTTGATACAAAACCAGTCCAAATCACCTCCAATCTTCCTCAAATTTTGTATATTGACTTATCTATATATTTTCAATGAATTTCAACTATACCCATTGAAAAAGTTTCTTTTTTGTTTAGATTTTTGGAATATTGTATAGATTTTTGTATTTTATCACCTTATTGCTAACCCGTCCATGAAATTTCCTTTCCGTCTTGTATCTAATGTTGTTAATCACGCTTAAAAATATGAAAGGTGATTTTTGCATGTGATTCTTTGAGAGAAAGAACCCTATTATTTGGTTTTTCAATTTTTGTTGGCTAGTTTTGGTAAGTCTATGACTAATGGCTAGAGGTTGGTAAGTTGAGATTTATTTGGGACATTTGTGTAAGTTTCCCTTGAATTAATTATTTAAGTCCAATAAATATGAGTGGGCTAGCCCATTTAGTTGGGCTACGAATGATGAGCATACTTCATTAGGCCCAATATGTCATCTTCCTAGAGGTCATATTTTGCGCCACGTGTCAAATGACGTGGCACGTCAAGTCAAACGGAAGGGCTAATTGGAACATGCCACGTATCAAAATGACAAGGCATGCCAAGTCACATTAAAAGGCCAACGCGCCACGTGTGCAAGTGACATGTTCTGGCCAATCAAATACGGCCTTGTCACACTTCAATTTGATTGGTCGGAAAGAGTTTGTTCTTATCATAACTTTTCCCTCCCACAACTGTAATAGGGGTCTTCATAATCCAGAAAAGACACAAGAAGTTATAACAAGAAGCAAGAAAGAGCTCGTGAATCAAACACTGCAAATTCCTCCACAATTTCAAGCTTCAAGCAATCAAGTTCAAGCTCAAGAACGAAGAACAAATCAAGTTCAGGCTCAAGAACGAAGAACAAATCAAGGTTCAAGGAGTGCGAGTTCAAATTAAAGTTCGTACTAGTTGAATTCAAGATTATCATTCGTGGCAACAAATATAGATTCAAGATCAAGCTCGAAAGCCCTTGAATTTATTTACTATTGGAAAGAAGAATAAGAGGATTTATAGAGTTGTAACATTCAAATATTTGAAATAAAATACTACGATTGTTGAGATATTTTTCGGTCTTGATTTTATTTTCTCGACGCAAATTTATTGTCTACAAATTCTGGCATGCCCAGTGGGATAATCTCTACCTCTCATCTCAACTTTTCAATCACCAAAGTTCAAGAACATTGAAATGGCTTCAAAGAGAATCAACTCCGGTTCAACTTCCACTAAGGCTGCTAACTCCAGGTTCTATGCTGATGTGGAAAACATCCTCGATGTTACCTTTGGAAGCTTCAGACCAGTTACGAGGAGCAAAACAAGCTCCTTAGGACAACAAGCACCCCAAGTGCCGTCTGCATCAACCCTTGCTTTCGGATCTTCATCCTCAAAAGGAGCAAGATCTTCCATAAACGCACCTTGAAGGAGGAAGTGATGTTGCTGAAAAGATCAAGAAAACTCTTGCTCTGCTTGACCTCTCCGGACCCAAGCACTCTGCTGTGAAGGAAGATGATGATGCTTCAAGTGATGAGTCCTCCCCACTTACACCACATAGCGTGAGCCAATCAAGGATCAATCTGTGTGAAAATCCATGCTACTCTCCATCGTCCACGACAATCATGCAAGCCATGGTGACAAATACTTCATCTGTGGAGGAGCAATTGGCAAACTTGACGGAAGCAATCGCTGGCTTGACCAAATGCATGCAAAATCAAGAGGCTAGAATTGACAAGCTAATAGACAGGATGGGAATCTTGATGGAAGAAGAATTCACCCATGCACCCGGCAAACTCCGAGAAGTTCAAGAGATTGATCCTCTCCACGACAAGTTGCATCCACTAAGGAAATTCCAGTCTCTTCGGAGGGATGATTCCAATCAATCAACTAAAGGAGTTCAATGAATGGACTATAAAAAACAAATATGAAGTCTCTTCCAAGTCCTCCTTCACCTACGCAAAGCCGTACACTTCAAGGATCGATATGTTGAAGATGTGTGCTGGCTATCAACCTCCAAAATTTCAACAGTTTGATGGCAAAGGCAATCCATAGCAACATGTGGTGCACTTCATTGAGACGTGCAACAATGCTGGGACTTATGGAGATTACCTCGTCAAACAGTTTGTCCGCTCATTAAAAGGAAATGCTTTTGATTGGTACACGGACTTCGAGGCTGGATCTGTTGATAGCTGGGATCAACTAGAGCAAGAATTACTTAATCGCTTTTATAGCACGAGACGTACTGTGAGTATGATAGAACTTACAGATACTCGTCAACGAAAGGGTGAACCAGTTATCGACTTTATCAATCGTTGGAGAAATGCAAGCCTCAACTGCAAAGATAGGCTTAGTGAAGCTTCGGGCATAGAGATGTGCATCCAAGGCATGCATAAGGGGCTACGCTACATCTTGCAAGGTATCAAGCCTGGCACATTTGAAGAACTTGCGAGTCGTGCCCATGACATGGAGTTGAGCATGGCCTCCGCTGGAAATGAAAGGTTGCCTATCTATGAGCCTCGAAAAGGGAACGACAAGCAAGAAGTCAGGAAATGGAGCAAGTTTGTACCCAAATCTGAAGACAAAGAAGCTATGAATGTCAACACATCACCTGTGAAATTCACAACGAAGGTGAGCAAGAAGCAGAGTATGAAATCCACTTCTTTTCAAGATAAGCCAAGTGGAAAGTTGACTCTAAAAGAAATGTAAGAGAAAGAGCACCCATTTCTCGATTCTGATGTGCCAGCTATTTTTGAAGAACTCCCCGAGTTAACTCTCATTGAGCTTCCGCAGATGAAGCGACCAAATGAAGCTGGGAAAACAAATGACCCAAATTACTGCAAATACCATCGACCTGTGAGCCACCCTCTGGAGAAGTGCTTTGTCTTCAAGGACAAAGTTATGGACTTGGCTCGCGAAAAGAAGATCGTGCTTGAAGATGAGAAAGCAAGCGCAAACCAAGTCTCTATCACCTTTGGCTCATTCAGTCCCGATGAATTATGTGGTTTTAAAGAAAGTAAAGATGAAGAATTACTGGAGAATGACAAAGCTGAAGTCAATCAACCTGATGATGATGAAGGTTGGACGTTAGTGACTCATCGTAGGCTCCACAGAAGGAGCCCACGAAAAGAATCGAACAACCAACAAGGAAAATGATGGTAAAAAGACCAAGGAGATGGAATCCGGTTAAGCACTTAAAGAAAGCAAAAGTGGAGGTGCACCACTCTCAAAAGCCACGAAATCCAGTGACCTTGGAGGAGTTTTTACCAAGTTGGTTTCGCACGAAGATTTCCCATGGGGGTGTCGATGCCTCTTGTTGCCATGCTGACAAAGGGGAGGAAAAGAGTGATGACCTACCGTTGGCACCATCTTCGGAAAAGCTCATCGAGTCCACGCCTCAAGAAGTTAATGCTTGTGAGAAAAAAGTCACGTTCACAAATGACGATCTTCTACTAGGTGACACTCTTCATAACTGCCCATTGTACCTGGTTGGCTATATGCGTGATGAAAGGGTAAATCGAATTTTGGTTGATGGAGGATCCTCAGTGAACATTTTGCCAATTCGCACTATGAAAGAGCTTGGAATTCCAATGAACGAACTCTCAGAAAGTCGTGTGATGATCCAAGGATTCAACCAAGGAGGGCAAAGAGCCAGAAGCGCGATCAGGCTGGAAATCACCATTGAAGATATGCAATCAAGTGCATGGCTGCATGTAATCGACGAGAAGACTTCATACAATGTCTTGCTTGGAAGACCTTGGATACATGAGAATAAAGTAGTTCCATCTATCTACCATCAATGTTTAAAATACTACGAGGGTGAAGTCGAGAAGAAGATAGTTGCTGATGATTAGCCATTCACCGAGGCAGAGTCACACTTCACCGATGCAAAGTTCTACTTGAAGAACCGCATTGTGAAGGAGATAAAAGCTTATGATGGCATGAAAAGCAAGAATGACGAGCCCATAACTGAAAGAGTTGAGCTGACTACTGGTAAAGCCAAAGCTGTTACTGATGAGGTACACGCCACCGCGAATAAATCTCATAGAGGGGATATTGCGTCTTATGGAAAGAAAGTAAGTCCCGCGCTCTAATATGTCCTAAAAGGAAGAAAGACGAGGGCGAATCATCTAATCTCCAAACTAACACGCTAAAGGAGTTAACTCTTCCGCTAAAACGAATTGAGGAAGTAAAGTTGTCCTCGAAGCCGCTTGTAGGGTTTATAGCCCAAAATGGTTTGCAGAATGTGGCACTCCCTACAAAGCGAACAGATGAAGGTTTTGACCCTAACGCTTACAAGCTATTTGCAAAAGCTGGATACAATCGTAATGGGCCGTCAAAGTTAGGGAAGATCCCATTAGAAGCTGCAACGAGGCAACCACGCGTTTGGGATACAAGCAACCGTCACCAGTACGCATCTCAATAAGAAGGGCGAGTAGCAATTATATCATTGTAAAAGATGAATCTGCCGCTTCTAACATGCTTTCTGTCTTTGATCGACTTGGAAAATCAACTGTGAGAACTTCTGTATTTGAGAGATTGGGTCCATTAAAGAAGGGGAATAAGTTCCAGAGAAATTATCGAAATACAAAA